TCTTTATTCAGGGACCAAGATAGGGATGTTGATCTGCCAGATACTAATAAAGATAATCTCAGCAAAAATATTTTTTAAATTAAGAATCGTAATGTAACCCTTCTTCAGCTGTTCCCCATTGTACTTGCTGTGGAAGTACAGTGTTATGACTCTGAACCTCAAAGCTGCAATTAATGCACTCAGAGATGTTCGATGGGACCTGATGCTTTGTTTTGCTCTGCTGTGAGTGCCATTTGTTCTGGAGGCAGGTACACTCTGTAATCTGCTTACTCACTTCTCTGTCTTCCTTTAGAAGTTGGGCATTAGAAGATACCAGGAACCATGTGCTCTAGGAGGGGTCATGTGCATTTTAAAAGTTTTTGTAGCAGCCTATTAGTATTAAAACAACAGACTTACAACTAACTTGGATCTTGCCAAAGCAGCTCCAAACAGGATTTTCCGGTAAATATTTACATAGGAGAACTTGAAACTTTATACTAGAAGTCTTTCCAACCACAAAAATGTTGGGAGTTAAATATTAGAACAAATGAACTGAGTAAAATCAATAATTCATCTTCCCTTGAGAAAAACATAGATACCATTGTGTCTAGAAGTGATGAAGAATAAATGGGAAATGAACTCAGAGAGCCAAGTACAAAGGCCCAAGATCCATACCTTAGAAAAAATACTGATTATTCATGACAAATTCTCTGCATGATGAGCCATTTGGAAGTAGAAAAGAAAAGCATCCATTTAGCATTTAAAAAAAAATGATATTCTTCCCATTACAAATGTCTATTCTTTTTTGTTTTTAATCCCCTTCCCCTTTTGTGTCCAGACTCCCATCCTCTCCCCTCTGGTAACTGTCAGTTTATTCTCTGTTTCTATGAGTTTGTTTCTGTTTCACTTTGTTTGTTTTGTCTATTAGATTCCACATATAAGTAAAATCATATGGTATTTGTCTTTCTCTGTCTAACTTATTTCACTTAGCATAATACTCTCTAGGTCCATCCATGTTGTCTCATGTGACAAGATTTCATTCTTTTTTATGTGTGAGTAATATTCCATTGTATGTATGTACCACATCATCTTTATCCATTCATCTATTGATGAACACCTAGGTTGCTTCCATATCTGGGTTATTGTAGATAATGCTGCAATAAACATAGGAGTGCATATATCTGTCTAATTATTGGTTTCATTTATTTGTATAAATACCCAGAAGTGGAATTGCTGGGTTGTATAGAGGTTCTATTTCTTAATTTTTTGAGGAATCTCCATACTGTTTTCCATAGCATTCTATAGAAATGTCTATTCTTGAACATTTGGAAAATCCAGAAAAATAGAAGGAGTAGTAAGCAATTTAACAATCCACCTTGACATTCAAATATTAGAAAAGCACCCTAGAATGTTTTAGAAGTTTTTCCAATGTATGTTAGTATGACACTGAGAAACTAGGTAAAAAATAAGCTTTAGTAGATTTTTAAATGAATCTATGGCTTTCTTTATTTAATGTAAGCCCACAGCAACATCTTTCAGATTTTGGGGATGTTTTAAAGGAAAGAAGGATAAGGTGAGTGAACCAAGTTAAGCCCAGGGCTGTGCAGTGACTTATATAACCAATTGTTTTCTAATCACTTTAGCAAAAAATACTGACATGGCAGTCACATCAATAAAAAAAAATAAGTTGGAAATATGAAGTATAGGTGACTTTACACTTAATCACTACTGAAAAGCATTGAAGATAAGCATTTTTATACTCCCGTAGCTAGCACACAGTCCTGATGCTATATTGATCTGATTACAAAAAAAAAAAACTTAATAAAGAGTGATTCTCTGTGACAAATGCTTCTCTATTCAAGTAATATTCTCTATCAATTAACAAATACATGAATGTGCAATAACTTTCAGCTCGTATCCCCCTCTTTTATGTAGTCTTACAAATATAGAACATTTCAAAGATTAATGCAGTGAACCCATGTATGTACGCCCACCATCCAAAATAAACAAATGTTAACATTTTATTTCTAAATATGTGCGATATACATGCACACACATAATTAATGAAGCAAAAGAAAATTGGATATAATAGATAAAGATGAAGTCCTTTTTGATCTGTACTGGGGGTTAAAACTGCAGCATATGAAATTTGAGAGGAGATAATTCAACCCACAACAGCTGCTTGCATGCTATAATGCCAGAGGTGAGTATTTATAATAGAGAACATGTGGTCTGCAAAGTCTAAAATAGTCACTCTTTAGCCCTTTACAGAAAATGTTTGCTGACCCCTGCTATAGGTGAACATGTTTTGACATGGAAAATATTAAAAATATATTCTTAAGTGAAAAGAATATATAATACAGTTGACCCTTAACACAGGGGTTAGGAATACCAACCCCCTGCACAATTGAAAATCCAAGTATACTTTTTTACTCTCCCCAAACTTTACTAACAGCCTTCTATTGACCAGAAGCATTACAGATAACACAAACAGTCGATTAACACATATTTTGTATGCTGTATGTATTATATTCTTTATTTTTGCAATAAAGTAAGCTAGAGAAAAGAAAATGTCATTAAAAATCATAAGAGAAAAGTACATTTACAATATTTGTTGAAAAAAATCACGCATAAGTGGAACTGTGCATTTCAAACCTGTGTTGTTCAAGGGTCAACTGCAGTATCTTCTGGAAATGTCTACATATGAATAGAAGAGAAAGATTATACTTCACAATATCAATAGTTTTAATACCTGAAGGTTGGTGCTATGAGTAATTTTAATTTTCTTTTTACTTATCTGTGTTTTCTATTTTTTCTATTATGAATATGTATTATTTTTGTAATTATAAAACCAAAAAATTATGCCAGTATGACATATAAAAAAACTAGACCATCATGTTGTCATTGTATGTAGTAGAAATGAATTTCCACCCAGAGTTAATTACAACTTCTAGGGTGCTTCCCTGTACTGCAGAAGTTGGAAAACTAAAAAACACATTTCCTTGACTCCCTTGTAGCTGAGGTTCTGTATACAAATTGGAATCTACCAATAGATGAATCTGCATGAGAAAGAGACCATTATCTTGCAGCTTTGTCTCTTTCTGCAGGGGTTTGATGGTGGGGACTGATGAGGGCACTGGAGTAAGACTCCAGCCTTCATCTCTACCTCTGAGCTGAGGAGGAGTGACTCATTCATTCCTGGATTGAATCTATAGCAGAAAGTTCTTGAAGTCAATAGCTCTAGCAATGACTTAATGATTCCCTACTTTCCTGATATCACAGAGTTCGAAGCCCCTCCTGGGAGGACATTTCTACAATTCTACAAAGTCGTTTGTTTTTCTAGGAATTATTCCTGGACACCTAACCCAAAGGCAGCCTTTCCAGCTATTTTATAATTACCTAAATCTTCCTATGCCTAAAATAGTTGATTGTTTTATTAACAGAGCCATGACTGACATAGGGGTGCATGAACAATTTTGGGACAAACTTGTGATGAAAGAAAAACATTTTATGACAAGTTGAATGAAAATTATTCAGAGACATCAATGTTTCAAGTTGCTTGGAATCCATCTGAATTGCAGAATGAAGAGTAGAAAAAATTGGAATAACTCTGCTG